ACTGCCCGGTTACCACCCCCGAATCGCGTGCTCTGAATTCCCGGGGGGCGTGGGACACGTGAAAGTACATCTGATTCGCGCCCACGAAACCATAATCCCTCGTAAGTTGCACCATGTTCGCGTCCCCGAGGTCATAAAACCCCGTATATTATACAATTCTTGCGTAACCAAGGCAACAAACCCGCGTAATTTACACTATAGTCGCGCCCCCGATGCCATAAACCTTTTCAAATTGCGCCATATTGGTTCCAAGACGTCCCAAGAGGATCCAAAGAGACCCCAAGAGCGCTCCAAGAGGCCTCCCGAGAGAGCCACAAGACGCCAAACTCGTAGATTGTACGAAAGTTATTGGAAGGATGTTGGCCTTCGCACATTCTCGGCTTTCCGATGCTCCAAGACGGCTCAAGAAGCTCCCAAGACCGTCCCAAAGACAGCCCAAGACGCCTCCAAGAGGGCCCAAGAAGGCCCAAGAGGGCTCCAAGATGGACCAAGAAGCGCTCAAGACGGCCCAAGAGGACCCCAAGACGGCCCCAAGAGGGGCCCAAGCAGGGGACCACATTCGATATTTGTGCAAGAGGCGCCCAAACAGCCTACAAGAGGCCCCCGAAAGGCCCCCGAGGGGCCCCCCACGACACCCCAACACAGATACAACAGGTCTCAGACCCACAACCCAGGCACGGGATTGGCCGAATGCAACGAGGATAACGCCAACGTCCCAATATGCGCTGATGATTGATATTCGCCCCCGCAGGATGTTCCCAGATGCGCAAAGGCAGGGCCGCGACGCACCGACGCGACTCTCATACATCCCATTGAGAGGGGGCCGGCGGAAGGGGGCGAAGCCCTTACGGATTAGGGATGGGGGGTCTTTTTCTTGAGATGTATCGAACTTAACCGCCCACATCTATCGTCCCTTATGCAAGCACGGGGACCTAAGTGAGGCCACGTCATCACTGCGTTATTCGGGTTAGGGGTCCCTTCGTTGTAGATCACGATCTGAAGCGAAGCAGCTGTCTGAGGGCCAGAGCCCCTCGTGAGCCCAAGGCGGACCTGCCGTCAGAGCCCCTCCCCTGCCCTGGCTGCCCCCCTCGAGCCCCCCTTCTCCACTACCTCCTACCGGCCCTCCCTTTCCTTGACCTCCAACCACTCCTCCCCCGCTTATCCCACTCTCTCCTCCTCCTCCTCCTCCTCCCTCCTCCTCCTCCTCCTCCTCCTCCTTCCTCCTCCTCCTCCTCCTCACTCCTCCTCCACCTCCTCCTCTCCACATCCTCCTCCATCACATCCCCTCCTTCCTCCTCCTCCCCCCTCCTCCTCCTCCTCCTCCTCCTCTCCTCCTCCTCCTCCTCCTCCTCCTCCTCCTCCTCCTCCTCCTCTCCTCCTCCTCCTCCTCCTCCTCCTCCACATCCCCCTCCTCCCCCTTTCCCTCCTCCTCCTCCTCCTCCTCCCTCCTCCTCCTCCTCTCCTCCTCCTCCCTCCTCCTCCTCCTCCTCCTCCTCCCTTCCTCCTCCTGATCGCGTGGTCGTTGCGGGCGAGTCCAGGACAAGCCTCGGCACCCTCGCCTCCTCCACCTCCTCCTCCTCCTCCTCCTGCTCCTCCTCCTCTCGCGGGCATAAAGATCGGGCAGCGGCAATCTCAAGTCGCCCACCCACCGCCTTTCCCTCCCGAGTCTTCCCAACGCACCTAGCGTCTGGACTTCGCATTCTGGGAGGGGAAGGCCAGGTGAGTACACCAGCGCAGCTCTCCAAGTGGTATCGGTGCCTTCTCTCCCCCCCCTTCCCCCAGGAAAAGCACCTAAACCTTCATTGGATGGTTAGGTTGCTCAATGGTCATCTCCAAAGCGGCGAACGTCAAACACGCAAAGATGTCTGATATGAGCTTGACTGAAGGCGTGCACGTTGTCCGGTAGACTTGCCCTGTTCTTCCAGACTGCACCCTTGACCGCAGTCAGAAACACGAGCTAAAATAGAACATGATCGACCCACGGACACGGCAAGGAATCTAGAAACGTAAGGCATGGCAACGTTTTCAAGACACCTGATTGGGCGACGGGCACTTGCAATGCTGAGTGTATCGATATTGCCGTACCGTGCCACGGGTTGTGCCGTGCTGCGCCGTGCTGAATTGCGATGCGCCCTGCCGCGAGTGTGCTCCAAAGCGTTGTGGATCGAGTCCCCCGTTGCATCCAAGTCCTGAACCAAACTGATCTGGATCATAAGCTCGAGCTGCCTGAGCACATAGTAGCTGCCCCAGATCTACTTGACAGGGGGACACGCCAGGGGACGCGCCGTGGAACGTCCCAAGGGACGCGCCAGGGGTCGTGCCAGGGGACGCGCCATGGGGACGCACAGCGGGACGTGCCAAAGGGACACGCTACGGAACGTGCCAACGGACGTGCCACGGGACGCGCCAGGGGACGCGCCGCGCGACGTGCCAAAGGGACTCGCTTTGGGACGCGCCACAGAACGTTCCAGGGAACGCGCCAGGTTGCAAGGCTGAGTGTATCGATCTTGATGTACCGTGCCAAGGGCTGTGCTTTGCTGCGCCGTGCTGCATTGCGACGTGCCATGCAGCGATTGTGGTCTATAGCGGTGTGGATCGAGTCCTCCTTTGCATCCTAGTCCTAGTCCTGACCGAACTGATCTGGATCTTAAGCTCGAGCTGCCTAAGCACATAGTAGCTGCCCCGGGCCCCAGAGCTAATTGACAAGGAGACATGCCCAAGGACGCGCCGCGGAACGTCCCAAGGGACGCGCCAGGGGACGTGCCATGGGGACGCACCGCGGGACGTGCCAAGGGGACGCGCTACGGAAGGTGCCAATGGACGTGCCACGGGACGTGCCAGGGACGCGCCGCGCGACGTGCCAGGAGGACTCGCCATGGGACGCACCACGGAACGCGCCAGGGAACGTGCAGGTGACGCGCCAGGGAACGTGCCAGGGAACGCGTCAGGGAACCTGCCGCTGGACGTCCCTGACGCAGGGCCAGGACCCCTCGTAAATTACAATGCGTCCGCGCCCGCTCTCCCCGGGCCACGATCCCTCGTAAATTACGCTGCGTCCGCTCTCCCTGGGCCACGATCCCACGTAAACTGCGCTGCGTCCGCGCTCCCAGGGCAGCGCTCCCTCGTGAATTACGCTGCATCCGCGCTCCGAAGGCCACGCTCTCCAGTAAAGTACGCTGTGTCAGCCTCCGAAGGGCCAGGATCCTCCGTAAATTGCCCTGCAACCGCGCTCCCAGGGCAACGGTCCCTTGTAAATTACGCTGCGTCCACGCTTGGAGGGCCACGATCCCTTGTAAACTACGCTGCGTCCGCTCTCCCTGGGCAACGATCCCGCGTAAACTAGGCTGCGCCCGCGCTCCCAGGGCCGCGCTCCCTCGTGAATTACCCTGCGTCCGCGCTCACAGGGCCACGATCCATCGTGAATTACGCTGTGTCCGCCCCCCAGGGCCAGGATCCCACATAAACCACACGGCGTCCGCGCTCCCGGGGCCACGATCCATTGTAAAGTGCACTGCGTCCCCGCTCCCAGGGCCACGATCCCTGATAAATTAAGCTGCGTCCGCGCTCCCTCGGCCACAATCCCTCGTAAACTACGGTGCATCCGCTTTCCCTGTCCACGCTCCCAGGGCCGCGCTCCCTCGTAACTTACGCTGCGTCCGCACTCCCAGGGCCCCATGGGGCATCCTTGGGCGTCCAGGTTCCTGAAGTCTCGAAAACAAGCGTTTCGCTCGAGCAATCCTCAACACATGATGCAAAACAAGCGTTTCGTTCAAGGCATTCGCAACAAACGAAAATGCTTACTTCATCCTGTGTTTATCGATCGGAATTTCAAAAACCTGCGTTTCGCTCGGAACATCATCAAATTCTAATTCGCCAACCCTCTTCGACCTCGTTATCTATCCACCCATCCTCTTCCAGTCGATTCCGGGGGTACAACCTCTAAAAGAGAACCCTGGGCCGGAGCCCTTTCTGGGAAAAATGAGCTGTTGGTTTTGAAGCGGGGGGAACCGAGTTGAAGCACACAGGCCGCCAGGCCAAGCCGGACCACACAGTACGGGCGGGGCCTGCGAGTGTGATGCAACGAATCTGCGCTGCCCCGAAAGACGCCAACCGTTGAAGGCACAAGTGGCTGAACCTCAATCGAAGGAGGCCCAGGTCCCAGACTGAGCCAGGTGGCCGAAGAGCAACACGCGTATGTCTGGGTGCGCGCAGAACTGTGCTGGGCAGACGACCACCTGCGACAGTCGTTTTTCTGGAACGGTGCGCTACCGCCCGAAGTACACGAATTCTGAAAAGTGCATGCGCCGCTCTTAGCTCTGTGGCTTGAGCGGGCATGTCTCGCGTGTGCGACCAGCAGACACAGGGTCGGATCGTTTACACAACCCGTGTATACAGCTCCTTGGACCCCATGTACAGAAATACCCTCCAGTACCAGGACCAGAGGATCGCATGGCCCGAGGCCAGCATGATGGAAACATTGGCAACCGAGATCAGCAGCAGCACGCTGCTGGGGCAGCACCGCAGCTGGCACGGAGCCTCGGCTCCGAGCCCCGCGGCTTCGCATTAGTAGGCAAAAACCGCTTGCACCCGACACGGGCGTGCACGCGTCATTGACGAGACTCCGCGAGAGAGGGATGGCACCGTGCAGAACCCAAACTAGCCTGCACTCCAGCCCGCCTGCTCACGTGCATCGGGCGGGCTCGGCGGCGGGTCCCGGGGGGAAGTCAGAAGGGGGCGGGCCTCCTCAGAGGGCTCAGATGGCCCTCGCGCCTTCTCAGAAGTTCTTCTGAGCCTTCTCCGACGACGGCGACGGCTTCTCGGAGGGCTTCCGGGAAGCCCCGCTGCCCTCTTCGAAGGCCTGACCCCTCTCACTCCCCCCCCCGGGGGCGCGCCGCCGACCTAGAAGCAGCCTGCACTCCAGCGCGCACGCTCACGCCTGTCGAGCAGGCGGCAGCCCCCCCACACATACACAAAAAAAGTTGCCCTCGCCCTCGGACGACCTAATCCCTTCGGAACCTGCCCTTCGAGGCCTGCCCGTAGTCGCGGCCGCCTGGGGGCAGGATCTCCTGCGCGGCAGGGGGGCCGGAGGGATTCGGCAAGCGTTACCTCACATCTTAGTGGGGGGGTATCCCTTCTCGCCCTGCAAAAAGCAAGCACTCCTCTCGGCCATACTTGGTTAATCAATTCTTTGGTGTTCTGTGGTCTGACGCGTCCATCCTGCACGATTCGACGGCGCTGGCACAGCAGACACATCTTGTTCGGGGGAGAGGGAGGTGAGCGGAGAACAACCGCGAGGCTCCAGTGGTGTTGCCACGAATATGTTGCTTCCTGGTGCGATCGCTGGCCAAACAAACGCCACAAGGCGCATATGAGTCGGAGATGGACGAGGTCCACAGCCCCATCACCAATCACGGCTCAAAGGCGACTCGCGCTCCCGCATGACCCCGGCAACCGCAGCGACCCCCGTCCTGCATAATCGCACTGCTGTTAAGTCGGGCGCGTCCCTATTTTCGACGAAAAATAAAATTATCCTGGCGATGGACCCAACCATATGCAAACGTGAATACCGCAGGGCAGGTGGGACGAAGCAAGAGGAATTCTCTATGGGGCCACGATCCGCGTGAGGGGTGTGCCGAAATGGCCCGAGGCCGCCATGCGAACGCTGCCACTGGCGCCTTCGGTGGAGCTCCCTATGGGGCCACGATCCTCGTGAGGGGTGTGCCGAAATGGGGCGGGGCCGCCATGCGAACGCTGCCACTGGGGCCTTCGGTGGAGCTCCCTATGGGGCCACGATCCTCGTGAGGGGTGCGCCAAAATGGGGCGGGGCCGCCATGCGAACGCTGCCACTGGGGCCTTCGGTGGAGCTCCCTATGGGGCCACGATCCTCGTGAGGGGTGTGCCGAAATGGGCGGAGCCGCCATGCGAACGCTGCCACTGGGCCTTCGGTGGAGCTCCCTATGGGGCCACGATCCTCGTGAGGGGTGTGCCGAAATGGTCCGAGGCCGCCATGCGAACGCTGCCACTGGCGCCTTCGGTGGAGCTCCCTATGGGGCCACGATCCTCGTGAGGGGTGTGCCGAAATGGGGCGGGGCCGCCATGCGAACGCTGCCACTGGCGCCTTCGGTGGAGCTCCCTCATGGGGCCACGAGCCGTGTGAAGGGTGTGCCGAAATGGGGCGGGGCCGCCATGCGAACGCTGCCTCTGGAGCCTTCGGTGGAGCTCCCTATGGGGCCACGATCCTCGTGAGGGGTGTGCCGAAATGGCCCGAGGCCGGCATGCGAACGCTGCCACTGGGGCCTTCGGTGGAGCTCCCTATGTGGCCACGATCCTCGTGAGGGGTGTGCCGACATGGGGCGGGGCCGGCATGCGAACGCTGCCACTGGGGCCTTCGGTGGAGCTCCCTATGGGGCCACGATCCTCGTGAGGGGTGTGCCAAAATGGCCCGAGGCCGCCATGCGAACGCTGCCACTGGGGCCTTCGGTGGAACTCCCTCATGGGGCCACGATCCTCGTGAGGGGTGTGCCGAAATGGCCCGAGGCCGGCATGCGAACGCTGCCACTGGGGCCTTCGGTGGAACTCCCTCATGGGGCCACGATCCTCGTGAGGGGTGTGCCGAAATGGCCCGAGGCCGGCATGCGAACGCTGCCACTGGGGCCTTCGGTGGAGCTCCCTATGGGGCCACGATCCTCGTGAGGGGTGTGCCGAAATGGCCCGAGGCCGCCATGCGAACGCTGCCACTGGGGCCTTCGGTGGAGCTCCCTATGGGGCCACGATCCTCGTGAGGGGTGTGCCGAAATGGGGCGGGGCCGCCATGCGAACGCTGCCACTGGCGCCTTCGGTGGAGCTCCCTGTGGGGCCACGATCCTCGTGAGGGGTGTGCCGAAATGGAGCGGGGCCGCCATGCGAACGCAGCCACTGGAGCCTTCGGTGGAGCTCCCTATGGGGCCACGAAACGCTGCACTGGGTGGGTGAAACGCAGGGAAGAGGGGGGAGGAGGGGGAGGAGGAGAGGAGAAGAGAAGGAACGCGGGGCGACGTCTCTTCAAAACGAGGCCCCAACACCACAGGATGGCTAGGAAAATGACAGAAATTATCCTTGCGAAAGACCCAACCATACGCAAGTGTGAGAACCGCAAGGCAGGTGGGACGAAGCAAAAGGACTTTCCTATGGGGCCACGAACCGTGTGAGGGGGTGCGCCAAAATGGGGCGGGGCCGCCATGCGAACCCTGCCACTGGGGCCTTCGGTGGAGCTCCCTATGGGGCCAACAACCGTGTGAGGGGCGCGCCAAAATGGGGCGGGGCCGCCATGCGAACCCTGCCACTGGGGCCTTCGGTGTAGCTCCCTATGGGGCCACGAACCGTGTGAGGGGTGCGCCAAAATGGCGCGGGGCCGCCATGCGAACCCTGCCTCTGGGGCCTTCCGTGGAGCCCTCTATGGGGCCACGAACCGTGTGAGGGGTGCGCCAAGATGAAACGGGGCCACCATGCGAACCCTTCCACTGGGGCCTTCGCTGGAGCCCTCTATGGGGCCACGAACCATGTGAGGGGTGCGCCAAAATGGGGCGGGGCCGCCATGCGAACCCTGCCACTGAGGCCTTCGGTGGAGCTCCCTATGAGGCCACGAACCGTGTGACGGGTGCGCCAAAATGGGGCGGGGCCGCCATGCAAACCCTTCCACTGGGGCCTTCGGTGGAGCTCCCTATGGGGCCACGATCCTCGTGAGGGGTGTGCCAACACGCAGGGCCGCCATGCGAACCCTGCCACTGGGGCCTTCGGTGGAGCTCCCTATGGGGCCACGAACCGTGTGAGGGGTGCGCCAAAAAGGCGCGGGGCCGCCATGCGAACCCTGCCACTGGGGCCTTCGGTCGAGCTCCCTGTGGGGCCACGAAACGCTGTACTGGGTGGGTGAAACGCAGGGAGGAGGGAGGAAGAAGAAGAGGAGGAGGAGGAGGAGGAGGAGGAGGAGGAGGAGGAGGAGGAGGGGGAGGAGGGAAGGAAGGAAAGAAGGAAGGAGGAACGCGGGGCACCGTCTCTTCAAAACGAGGACCCAACACCACAGGATGGTTGTCAAATACCCCAAAATGGTAAATATAAAAAACAAAAAGAATACAAAACATCCCCAGACTATTGTTGACTATTTTTGAATATCCCTCCTGTACAGGGACAGGCCCGACTTCACACTGCTGCGATCTAGACTGACCAGCTCAAGAGCAGGTACTGCGTGCGCCCACCCCCGGTTTTCCCCGCAGCTGCGCGGGCCCCGGCCACGGTGCAAGAACCACCGAAGTCTCCACGGGAGTCCGCAGGAGCCCGCACGAGCGCACGCGGCCCCACGAGGCCGCGGGATGCCGAATCTCACTCCGCCCGGGTGGGAGCTACCAGGCGCACATCGGAACATACATAGCACTTCGAACTATGATGGGCCCGTTTTCCACTACCACCGCCACCAGAAGTTGGAGGGGGGAAGGAGGTGGAGGACGAGGAGGAGGAGGACGAAGAAGGTGGAGGACGAGGAGGAGGAGGACGAAAAAGAAGAGGAGGAGGAGGAGGAGGAGGAGGAGGTGGTGGTGGTGGAAAACAAGCCCATCAGACTAGCCGGTAGGATTCATAAACACCGCAGGCAACCATAGAACCCACGATCAACCGTACAAAGTATATTCTGGAATTCGTGAGGACCCATGGCACCCACAGAATTCAATAGAACTCAACAGTAACCGATTGGAGCCCGAAGTAATCCATGGGACGCCATCGAAATGATTAGATATCCGAATACAAACGTGGTGGACTCCATAAGAGCCCACAGGAACCCATCGGGATCTGAAGAAAATCATTGGAGTTCCTGGGGATACATAGAAAGTCCTGGAAACCAACTGGAATGGTACGGCATGAGTTGGGATCTATGGATGCCCGCGCGAGCTCATGGGATACGATAGGCATTCACGGGAACCCGTCGGGGGGTCCATCGGGACGTGAAGGGATACATCAGCATCGGTATCACACATGAGAAGCACCTGAGTTCTAGACGAGCACATCACACCGCAAATAATCTAAGAAGGCCACGGGAATCCCCAAGAGGTCGTGGGGAGGCACAGAGTACAATTGATACAGGCGCCCACCGCAAAGAATGGGCATCGTCAGGATCCCATAAGAGCACACACACACACACAATTCCATGGGATTATATACGGAAGGCACGGCATGCCGAAGTATAGATTGGATTCGGCAGGATTCCATGGGATCCCGTAGGAGTACAGGTGAACCAGTAGGAAGCTGTGCGAGTCCGTAGGGAATGATTGGAGCCTTCTTGCGAGCTCCTAGGAACCTGTAGGAACCGAAAGGAGTTCACAAACTCCCACAACAAAAACTATAGGAAGGCACAGCGCGGCTCTCGCCCTAACACCGCGCACGTTGGTATTCACAGCTTTCGGCAAGTATGTGGATGGAGAGCAGACCATTTTCATTATGCGGCTCTCGCACCATTGTCGCGCACATGCGTACTCAGCGCTTCCAACAGCTATGCGGACACATTGCGGTAGGCCATCGAAACATGCTGCTCTTGCCCTAGCGCCACGCATATGGTCTAACAAGATGCGAGCAGCTACACTGGCGCAGGTCCAGTCGTGTTCAAAATGCCGCTCCCGACATAGCGCTGGACATGTTCCCCTAAAAGGTCCCCAACCACTGTACGGATGGAGGGCGGATCGTTTTCACAATGCGACTCTCGCAACACCGGCGCGCACATCCGTCTTCAACGGATCCACAAGTGGCTCGAGTGGATGACCGTAGTTTATCAAACTGATGTTTTCGCCTGAGACTTCCAGAACTTCAACGGCATCTAAGTTCGATATGTCCAACAGCTGCATGAGAGAGAACGGTTCGTGGTGAAGCATCAACTACGGCTGTGGAACTTACGTTTTTCTATGGTCCTCAAGCCTGCCACCCCAACAACCACATAGATGCAACAAATAAGTTTTCTAATACGGTTCTTGCGCGAAGCTTCCTTACAATGAATTCCCCAGACAGTAGTGCTTGCAGCTAGGGGCTCTTCGCCTTTTGCTCGACCAAC